ATTTAGTGGCTTGAAAACACAGTACAGCTATCACTAAACTGAAAAGGCAACTTATCGGTGATAACTATGTGTACGGGTTTATGTGTTAAAAATTATGCATCATCCCAGCCACCCAGTAACATAAAATCAAACAATTTATAAAACGGGCAAGGGACTTGAGTAGACTTTCTCCAAAGAAGGGCCAGGGAGCACAGAGACATTGCTCAGCAAGATCAGGCCTGTGGGATGTAGGACTTCACCACTAGTCTGGCTGTTCCTTTGGATGCGGGAGAGGGGCGCTGGTGAGACTGTGAGGAAATTGGAGCTCTTCTCCGAAGTGATGTAATCTTAACATGATGCCACCACGGAAACAAAAACAGCCCTTCGAAATATAGAAAGACTGCAGGACCGAGCAATTCCGCTCCTAGGATTATACCCCCAGACTGAGAAGCACGGATCAGAACAGGTATTTGAATTCTGGCAGTCGCAGAGGCGGCAACACATCCGCAGAGAGCAGAGCCATGGTTCCTGCTCTCTCAGCAAACAAAGCCAAGGGGGCAGAGAATGCACCTGCACACCTGGGCAGGTATACACACCTGAGCAGGTGACATACATAGGCAGACCACACCTAGGCTGGTGTACACACCTGGTGACACATGGGCAGACCACACCTGGGCAGGTGATATAGGCAGTACACACCTGGGCAGGTGGCCCTGGATAAAGTGGGGTTATCCCTCTGTTCGTCCCGACTGGATGGTCCTGCTGCAGGCTCTGCCCCCCACCTGTGTCAATGGTCACACCCGGTAGCTGCGGTTGCTCAGCCCAGCTGTGTGAGTACCTTCTGTCAGGAGCCATCCTCTCCACGTTCAAGAAGACAGGCGTGACTTCTGGGGAGCCCCGGGGCTCCTCTAATGGAAAGGGCATCACAGGTGAGTCTGGTGCCCTCACACACCTGCCCCAGAAGTCATTTTGAGGAAAGGGGGGCATCTCAGGGTTGCATAGGGAAGCCACACAGTGGGTGGGGGGAGGGTCTGGGGTGTCCCTGCAGGTGTGTGACCCCCACAGCTCTGTCAGTGC